CCAAGATCCCTCTCACAGTTACTATTATTGAACCAGGTACCACCTATACTATACTTGTGAATTTGATTTTTTTTGCCTAAATGTAGAATCTTACTTTTTTCACCATTGAATTTCATTTTGTTAGATAAGGCCCAATGTTCAAATCTGTCATGATCATTCTGTATTTTAAGCTTATTTTCTGAAGTTGCTATTTCTGCCAGCTTGGTGTCATCTGCAAACTTGATGAGTTCCCCATCTCCAAAATCCATGTCTTCCAAAACTTTAAACATAAAGTCCCAATTTAAGTTATCAAAAGCTCATCCAAATCATTGATGATGATATTGAAGAGTACTGGGCCTAAAACAGAGCCTTGGTGTACCCCACTGAATACTTCTTTCACTCAGTGCCTTCATGTAGACATGAAAACAAAGGGAAAAGAGTATACAGTAGAGTTCTGAGGAAGCCAATCCACCAAGGGCTTCAGATTCAATTTCACCTCTCTTGTCCCCACCAACTGAACCCAACCACAGGGAAAGAAGGAGAACCTTGCAACTTGTACCTCCCAGCACTAATCCCTTCAGACAGGCTATGGTTGATGCTAGCAAAATGTAGTGAGAGATCAAGAAGACCAGTATGATTCCAGTAACTACCTTTGAAATATCAGAAACTATTAACAAATGAAAATAGGTAAAACTCCAGATCCAGATGGCCTCACCAGCCAGTATAACAAATATTTTGAGGGGCAACTCCTATAACTACTAAAGGATAAAATGGATTATATAAAGGATATAATGAATTGTGTACTATAGGATGTAAAGATGCCTCAAACTTGGAAAGAAGTTAATGTTGTGTTAATACCAAAGGAGAGTCAAGATGTTCTGAGGATAAAAAATTATACACCAATTTCAATATTAAAACAAGAATTATAAACATTTTACTGCAATACTAGCAGAAGGATTGATGAAATTTCTAGTCTTACAGTCACAAAGGCCAATCTGACTTTTTGCCAGAAAGACAATTGAGAGACAATGAATAAGTACTGTTTTGAATGTTATTGAATATTTACAATTTCTTAATGAAAAGCAAGGAGCTCTAATATTTTTGGATGCAGAGAAAGCTTTTGATAACTTAAATTGGGACTTTATGTTTAAAGTTTTGGAAGACATGGATTTTGGAGAGAAATTTATCCAAGGGGTTAAGGCGATATAACCATCATAGCAAGCAAATGTTATCATTAATGGAGATTTAACTACAACATATGATATTCAAAAGAATATGAGACAAGGATGTCCTCTATCTCCACTGTTATTTATGTAAGTGTTGGAAGTTTTGAATAATGGTGTCTGAGAGGATAAGTACATAACGGGCATAAAAATCACAAAACAAGTTTATAAATGAAGAGCTTTCACTGATGACTTAGTTACAGATTCTTGCAAGACCTCAAAAAACTTGATGAAGAAACTAAATGACTTTGGAGGTTTAGCAGGCTTCAAAATAAATAATCAGAAAACAAAAATGCTTGTTAAGAATATGGCTTCTCTAGAACGTGAAATATTGACAAAAGAATCTGGTTTTAAGATGGAGAAAAATTCTAAATACAATCAGGTTACGTTGACAAATACAAATACCGAAATCTTTTAAAACAATTTTGTATTTGTATGGAATTATATTAAAAAGACTTTATTAAGATGTGATAATTCTTATTGATGTCTTACCAAAGATGCTATTTTCATTTCAGATTTTACCAATATTGTCACGCAGCACTCCATTTAAACAATGGCAAAAATATATTTCTAAATTCATATGGCAAGGGAAAAAACTAATAATTAGATACAAATTACTGCAAGATGCCAAAGAAAGAGGAGGTTTAGGTTGACCCGATTTGACATTGCACTTTGATTCTTGCTTTGATTCTTAGGAAAATGGGTAACTCTCCAAATAAAAAAGATTACTTGAATTAGAGGGCCATGAATAAAGGTTTGGATGACATGTCTACTTATGGTATGACAAGGTTAAGATGAATGTTGACTTTAAGGATTATTTGGTTGGCATCCTAAAGGTTTGAAATAGATATAAAACAGGATTCTCTATGAAGGTATCACTTTAGGTGTCATTCCAACTTTTTTCAGAAAAGAAACATTGGTGAGCTCAGACAGATGGATTTATGGTCAAATAATAACTTTCATTCAAGGTGAACATACTCTTAAATTTAAATAGAAATAGCACTTCGACTTATATACCACTTTACAGTGATTTACAGCCCTCTCTAAGTGGTTTACAGAGTCAGCATATTGCCCCTAACAATTTGGATCCTCATTTTACTGACCTTGGAAGATCAGTCAGAACCGGTCAGGGTCAAACTGCTTGCAGTGGGCAAAATTAGCCTGCAATACTGCATTCTAACCACTGTGACACCATGGCTCTTTTGAAGAGTGTCAGGGTCCCACAGGAGGAAATGAGGCAGACCTGAAGACCCAACTGTAAAAGGTGGCTTCCAGGTCTGACAAAAAGTTAGAGTGAGAAGAATGTGTCTGTCATTGGTTTACTAATATACAATTAAAAGAAAGATTTAAGATAGACAAAAACATTATGAATTTCAAATTGTATTGTGTGGTAATGATGAACATGTTATTGCCCAGGTTTATAAACTGTCATTGAAATTGAATTTGGAGAACGAATATGTAAAGCAATGCATGATTCAATGGGCAAAGAATTTGTGGTATAATATAATGCTTGAACAATGGGAACACATGTGAACAAAGGGGTTGAAATTTACATTAAAAAATATATTGAACTATATATTTTTTCAATAAAATGATATATCATTAGTATTTAACATCTGATAATTGTCAAAGATGTATAAGATGTCAGAAGTTATTTCTAATGTTAAAATGTCAGAAGTTAATGCTTTTTTTTTCTCCCCTTCATCCTACATTTCTCTCTTTCTCTGTTCCAATTTTCCCACTATTTTCATTTGTATTTTATACTCTAATAAGTTTAATAAAATTATATTATTTTAAAAAAAGAACAACCAGTATGATTGCACAATCACCATCCCAGTTCTATTAAAGATCATACACCAGTATAGACACCTATGTCCAGGCTAGAAACCTGATTGAAAGAAATCCAAATAATCAGTCGTCTCCAGAACTGTCTGGAATTGTAGCACTATCACCTTCTCATCCTTTTCTTGGAAACTGGCCCAAAATGGTCGAATACAGATGGATCCAGTGAAGCTTCCTCAAAACAGCGGAAAACACACTGCTATGAATCCTTTCACTTTTGATTGAGTTCTTTGAATCTCCCCATTAGTACAATTCAAGGTTGGAACCTCCTTTTGAGTTTGGAGACTTTTTGAAAGATATTCACTTTTTCTCCATGTCTGTTTGCATTTGCATGTTCTCACAGATCTTATAATACTGATTCTGGTCTCTTCTAGAAGTTCCTTGAAATTCCTTGTTAAGTTCAGACCTGAGTCCTGACAACTTTCTCTTTCTTGGGTCTGGCTCCTTTTCTGGGAAATTTCTATTTTTGTTCTATGGAACTGTTCCATAGTTACTCTGACGTTCAGGGCTTCAAAGTAATTCTGTTCTACTTTGAAATGGTATAGTCAGCCCCTGGCCAAGTCTTTGTTCTTATAACTGAGCTCTTCTGCCTCCTTGTACAAATGATATAGTCAATTCAATTTCTGCATACTCTATCTGGCCATGTCAATGTATATAGCTGTGGGGGTGGTAAAAGTTAAAATGCGTTAAGGTAAAAGTTTCCCTAACCAGTCATGTCAACACCAAGATGTGGTGTTCCTCTCAGTTTCTTGGCAGAGGGAGCCAGCATTGTCCGAAGACATTTTCTGCGGTCATGTGGTCATGTGGCCAGCAATACACCAAAATGCATGGAATGCTGTTACGTTCCCACCAAAGTGGTACCTATTAATCTACTCACATTGGCATGCTTTTGAACTGCTAGTGGAGCTGGGGCAAGTAATGAAAGCTCACTCAGTCGCATAGTGGTCTCGAACAGGAATTCGTCCCATTGCATACTGCTAAAGTCTCAAACCCGGGCTGTTAGCTTTCTATCTGACAATCTCAGTGTCTTTAACATCTGAGCCATTGCACCTCCCATGGAATATGACAGGCTAATTCTGCCCAATATCAAGATTTCAAACCTGAACGGCTCAAGGTTGATTCAGCCTTCCATCGTTCCAAGGTTGGTGAAATGATTCATTGAATTGGCAAAGTTTCAAGTTCACCTTTAACAGGTTTATTAATCAGAAAATTACAGTATACTTTGTCAAATGCCTTGGTAAAATCAGTATGTAAGTTGTTCACATCATTCCTACAATTTCAGTAAGTTGATGCAACACCCAGCTGATCTTGACTAAACTCAAGAAAGTTGAACTGTGAGTACATAGATGACGGATCACCGAGACATCCCATGCTTATAAAATAGATAGTGAAGATAAAAATACTTCACAGAATTAAAGGACGGGCAAAGCACATCTATACTGAGAAAATTGTCTGATTAAACAAAGACATGTTGAAAAGACCAAGCAGATCTTTAGCATTTACTGCTTAATTGCTTTATGAGCTTCTCAGAACACAACAGAAGTTCCTTGAGCTCCATCATTTTCAGCTATGTAGGTTTGCAGACTCAGAATTCCCTGCCAGCCCTTTGCTGAGGATTTGGGAAGCTCAGGACTACACATCTACAACTTGACAAGATTGGGAAACACTGCTGAGTCTCCCCAATACCAACGTCAGCCTTTCAAAACTATAGATCCCCTAAATATATTTTGTTGAAGGTTGCAAGGATTTCCCTCCTCCAATCCCCTCATATTTCATCTATTCTCTCAGATTATTCATTCAGTTATATAAGATAAAGATCTGGGTTTTCATATGATATAATTCTTTCCCACTCCCAAAACACATGCTAAATTGACACCATTCTCAAATATTTGAATTATAGAATGTAAGGATTGGGAAGGACTTTGGTGTAGGAAGATCATTTGATTCCTTCCAACCTCACAAAGTGTGACACTGAAGGTGTTGCAATAGAAACAGGATAAAAGAATCCACCTAATGGTTGTTAAACTGACACGGCCATTCCAGTTTGGATTAGAAAGCTCTATACAAAGTAATATTTGATCATTTTATGAATATGACTATCCAGTTATCAGTTATAATTTCTGTATTTCAAACATATTACTTCTATCCGATTGTTAACCCCTGTACAATATTACTTTCTAAAGTTACCAACAATATATTAACAAAATATAAACTTCCCAAACTTACAAATAATGTTCTGTGTAATCTAGTAGATTAATAAATTTTTAACATTTGCAATTTATGCTAGCAATTGATAACTGATTCATTAAATAACAAAACTATCAACAATAGAAAAATCATTATTATTGTAATTTACTGTCAAGAATTCTGCATTCTAACCACTGCAACAGCATGGCTTACTTTATATGTTTACTATCAAATAAGACAGATTCATTTACTGTCAAGTAAATGAAAAACTTTTTTTGAACCTTTCTATAGCTTCTCAAATTGGAAAAATATTTTATATATGAAAAAAGAATTCATGATTTGTAATTCAATGTATTTTCTATCAGTGTCTAAATTTAGCAATTCAAAAACAATATTGTCCCAAGACTAATTGTAAATTATAAGTATGGAAATAGGATGCTAAGTGGATGACAAGAATTCTAAGAGCTGGACTCACCTTTTTAGCAGAATCTGGGGGCACATCAATCCCATTGATAAGTTCCCCATTATCTGCAAAGACAGGAATATTGGGACTGAAAATCATGAGATCACTCTTGGCACCAGCCTCTGCGCTCACACCAGCCAGGATGTGGCTGTGGCGATTGGAATAGGACCAGCTGCCCACTTTGCTGGCACACACCAAGGTGGCCATGCCAGGGCCATAAACCATGGATTCTTTTGCCTTGCAGTGGCATCGCAGAGCCACGTAGATGAGAGTGGTCAACAAGAAGAGGCTGGAAACAGAGCAGATGGCAATGATCAGATAGACGTTGATCGAGTCCACCAGGGGCACAAAGCTCTCCCCTGACCTTTGAAGATTAATATCTGTTTTGATTGTCTCACTGCTTGTCACAAGTGACACACTCAACGTGGCTGTAGCTGACAGTTGAGGTTTTCCGTGGTCCTTCACAAGAACCAAAACACGGTGGATTTTGCTTCCTTCTGATTCTTCTAGAGAATTTTTGGTACTCATCTCACCGCTATACTGTCCCACAGACCAAGGGCCACTACTTTCTTCAACTAGTTCATATCTTAGCCATGCATTGTATCCAGAATCCGCATCCAAAGCATGGATCTTGCCTACAATATGCCCAGGCATCACAGGGACCACTAGAAGAATCAGGTTTTCTTCTGGTGATCTTGACACAGCAGGTGCATTGTCATTCTCATCCATCACAAAGACTTGAACAGTTGCATTGCCACACAAGGAAGGCATTCCAGCATCCTTGGCTCTCACCTGAAACTCTAGCAGTTTCAACTCCTCATAGTCCAAAGACTGCAAAGCATAAAGTTTTCCACTCTCTGAATGTACAGAGATGTAGCCTGACAATGGCCAGAGCTTTTCGTCTATCCAATAGGTAATCAGGGCATTCTCAGCTATATCTGGGTCCCCAGCAGACATTGTGAAGATGTGAGCACCAGGGGGATTGTTCTCCTTCACAAAGACTGTGTAGGAGGGCTGTGTGAAAGCCGGAGCATTGTCATTTATGTCACTAATAGGCATTAAAATGGTGAGACTAGAAGATAGTGGTGGAACGCCCTGATCTTCAACTGTCACAACCATCCTGTACTCAGCCACCTGCTCTCGATCTAGGATTGCACCAACAATCAGGGAGTAGTAATTCTTGAATGTAGATTCAAGTTTGAAGGGTACACCAGTGGGCCAGAGGAAACAGTTTATCTGTCCATTGATTCCAGAATCCTTGTCAGAAGCACTGATTATAGCTACCACAGTCCCTGGAGGGGAGTTCTCTGGCAATGGCACAGAGAGAGAATTCACAGATAGTTCTGGAATGTTGTCATTCATGTCCAAAACCTCAATGAGAACTTTACAGTGTCCTGATAATTGAGAACTGCCGTTATCTTTTGCCAGAATTGGAAGTTCATAGAACTTACTTTCTTCGTAATCCAATTTTCCAATCACTATGATCTCCCCAGTATCAGAATTTATACTAAAGAGCTTTGTGACATGAGGAGCTAAGCTATCAGTAAAAAAATAAGAGATTTCCCTATTAATCCCTTCATCTAAGTCTGTAGCGTTCAGAGTAATGACTAATGACCCACTAGCTGTATTTTCTAACAACTTTACTCTATAAACAGATTGGTTAAACACAGGAGGGTTGTCATTGACATCCAGCACCTTGATGACTAGCTGAACAGTTCCTGTGAGTTTTGGTTCACCCCCATCAGTGGCTGTCAGTACTAAATGATGCACAGGGCTCTCCTCTCTGTCAAGTGGAGCCTTCAATAGAAGTACTACAGGTTTACTCTCATCTTCATCATTTCCTGAATCAAGAGCAAAATGGTTGTTTGGACTGAGCTTGTAAGTTAACACAGCATTCATACCAATATCTGCATCAGATGCTCCTTCTAATAGGAACTGGGTGCCAGACGTTATGAGTTCTGATATGCTCAGGATCTTTTCCCTGGCTGAGAAGATGGGAGGATTGTCATTCATGTCTTTGATTTCAACCTCCACATGGAAGAACCTCAGAGGTTTCTCCACAATCACCTCCAGGTGAAGGACACAGTCTACATTCTTGACACACAGCTCCTCCCTGTCTATCCGGGAATTTACAAACAAGATCCCATTCTGCAGGTTTACCTCAAAATAGTCCTTCTCTCCTTTGGACAGCATCCGGAACATCCGAGGCACCAGCTCGCTCACCTCCAACCCCAGATCCTGGGCGATGTGACCCACAAAGGTGCCGTGCTGGGATTCCTCCAGCACAGAATAATGGAGCTGACCGCTCCCCATTTTCCAGGCGGTGTGGAGCAGAAGCAGCTGCAGCAGCCCCTTCGGCCAGGTAAGCATTGCAGACACTGGCACAACAACAGCAAGCTCTTCTCTTTTTCTCTAAATATCTTGTCTCAAAGGTGTCAGGAGCAGAGACCATCTACCCCAGCCATACCGGCAATGCGTTCATAGATTGAATCTTGGCTTGTTGAGCTGTCTCTGTTGTTCAAGATTTCCCTTGTGGATCTAGCTGGCAGGAATGTCTGTCCCTTTAAGGGAGGGGCTCTGCATTTTCAGTTTCACTTACAGAGTTTCCTTAGGAAACAGCGCCCTCTTGTGACCGAATATCAAACTGGAGAAGCAGACTTTCATTCTGTGTTCATGACAAATTATTAATAATTATCCAGGCTTCATGCACAGATTCATGCAGTGCTTGGGTACATTCTTGACCATACATATAAAAACCAACCCAAATATAGAAGGTTAATTAAATAGCATACAGTCATTAAAAAAAGAGTAATTAAATTTTATTGTAAGTTACTACATATATTTATTGCTTAGTACTTTTATTAGTATGGACAGGAATAAGATGTGTAATTATCTGCAACTTTTATGATCTCATCCATTGTTCAAAGATGTGATTATGATGCCACTGAGGGAATACTGAATTGGCTTCAAACTATTTGAGCTAACTTTGAGCAACATGACAAATAATAAAACATCAGAAGCACAGAGGTACATAAAAGATAGAAATAAATATGAAATACTGTCCTTGTTACTTTTCTGTTTCTTGTCCATTGTATGGAGCTCTGAAATCATTCAGATAGATGAAAAGCAGAGCAAGATGTCAATTTCCAAAATATTTAATTTGATGTCTAAATGAGTGTCCCATTGAGAACATTTTTAAATGAGGAATTGAATAATCATAGAAATCTATTCCTTTTTTGCTTGCCATATGATACTGACATAATTTCAACAGCAATGCACATAAAGCAACTTATTTGACAAGACTTAGACAACTGATGAACTGTGTTGCTTTAATAATTGAATTTGTTACCACTAACTACTGTTTTGCCTCTCATGTCATCAGTTGTATATTTCTGCATAACAACTAATTAGATTAATAATTAATAAAGCTACTGTATTCACACTTCAAAAGTGTTTGGGAAGAAGTCCCTTGTTCCAAAATAGTTGCCATATTTCTTGCAGCCAATATTGCTGTGAGAAAATTGCCTAGCAATCTTGATAATTTATTTTTCATAAACTGATTTATATATATATGTTCTTTTTATGCTCTTTACATATTCTCCTGTTTTAATATAAGTGATATGTTTTGCTTTGTATGTTTCAACTTATAATCATTTAAACTGTCACAATGTTCAAATTTTTTGAAATTTGAACCCTCAGCACCCTCAGTTCCAGGAGGGAAGCTGTTACACTGCTTAATAGTTCTCACTGTCAAGAAATTCCTTTTTATTTCCAAGTTGGCATCCTCCCTTGCCACAGTATTTTGCATTTTGTTTTAATATCCATATTTTATCTAATGTGGCTTTGAGAAAGAGTAATATTGTTTCAGGGGGGTGTGGTGGCTCAGTGGTTAAAGACGCTGAGCAATAGCCGATGTTCAAGACCAAGCACTGTGCGATGGGGTAAATTCCCATTACTTGCCCCAGTTCCTGCCTATTTAGTAGTTTGAAAGAATGCAAATGCAAGTAGATTAATAGGTACCACTTCATGGGAAGGTAACAGTGTTTCATGCACCTTTGTCATATAGTAGTGCTAGTCACATGACCACAGAAATTTCTTTGGACAATGTTGGCTCCCTCAGTTAAGAAACGGAGATGAGCACTGCCCGTAGAGTCAGACATGACTTGACAGGGGAAACCTTTACCTTTATCTTTAATATGGTTTTGATATCTGATTTTCAATTATACCATCTTTTAATAATTTCTATATGTACAAAGAATTATAGATTTCCAAAGTGTGAGATATATTGAAAGGGATCACTCTTTTACAGTGGCAAAATACTCAAAATTTACAACCTTTGATCAGTGGATTCTGTATTTTTTTCCTCTTCATACGATACTAAATGAATTTTAAAAATGGAGATTAGTTTAAACTATGTAAAATCAGGAGTGCTCTTATTTTCCTGCCAAGTAGTGGTCATGGGAGCCTAATCTTTCATATTTGCCTCCAGTCTGATGAGTTGCTGTTGATCAACTTCTTTAAATTAAAGGTTTCAAACCAGTTACAGAGTCACTTAAATAGGAAGCCATCAAGCTCACATTTAAGTAGTTTGTCAATTAGCCAGTTCAGTGTTACCGGTAGCTGTATCCATCAATAATGTAGCTAACTCTCTCTCCTCCTCACTTTTCTTTCCCCTTTTCCTCCCCATTGTGTTCTATTATTTGCTTTTTATTTTTGTATTTTATTCTATAATCTAATAAAATGTTTTTACAATAAAAAAATAAATGAAACATGTAAATTATCTGTAACTTTTGTGACCTGATCCATTGTTCACAGATGTACAGTACCATGGTGCCATTGAAGGAATGTTGAATTGGCTTCAAACCGTGTGAGCTTGTTATATTCTTCTTCTAATATCTTTTGGTTTTGTTTCTCCTTCTTCTTATTTTTCTTTCCCATATAAGTTATAGCTAAACCTCTAATGTATGCCTTAGCTGTGCCCCATACATTTTGTAATGAGGTCTCTTCTTTTCTATTCTCTTTAAAGAAAAAGTCTAATTGAATAAATTCCTTATCTCTTAATATTGATTTGTTCAACATCCACCTTAATTTTCCTTTTTGTCCTTTCCATTTAACTTTTATTGGAGTGTGGTCTGCCCAATTACTTGTTTCTATGTCTATTTCTGATCTTAATTCAGCTGACATCCATATCATATCTATTCTCGACCAAGACATATGCCTATTTGAATAAAATGAATATTGCTTTTCCTTAGGATGTATCTTGCGCCAAACATCTTAGATACCTAATTCTTCCACCATTTAAAAAAAAGCCTTTGGAAGTGTCTTCCTAGCTTTTTTATTTACTTTCCTAGTTTTATAATCCAGTTCTGCATCCACAATTTATTAAAATCTCCTACTACACATATATTTTCATACTCCAATTCTATTATTTTCTTATGAAGTTTACTATAAAAGTCCTCTTGATTGCTATTTGGTGCATAAATTACTATCAAAAGTATCTGTTTGTAATTCATTATCTCCACCATCAAAATTCTCCCTTTTTCATCCATGAAAATTTGCTTAACATTTATTGTTTCTTTTATGTAAAGAGCTACTCCTTTCTTCTTATGTTGTGATAGAGAGGTATGTAGTTTCCCAATTTTGGAATGTTCCAACAGTTTATTGTGTTGTTTTTTAATATGAATGTCTTGCAGGCAAATTATATCCAACTTTATTTTTTCTAGTTTACTAAAAGTCCTTTTCCTTTTTATAGCCAAATTCAATCCATTTATATTTATTGACAGTAATTTTATTTCTACTTCCATGGTTTTACTTATAGATAGGTTTTGTTGTTCTGATCGCTCTTATCTCTCTCTGATCTTTTGCCTTTGCTCCTTCTCTCTTTGCTATTTCCTCTAACTCTCTTTTGTCGTCTTCTTTTTTTTTTGAATCAAGTTTTATTGATTTTTTCTTTCACACACACCCACAGAGTATTGACGATATCATATCTTATACAACTTGTCATATCCAAATACACTTTACATAATTACAGTTTCTGCCAAAATGTTCTTTTTCCCTACTTTTTCATCTTATCTTAATACTTCTATACATATTATATAAACAGTATCACCATCCACCCTCTAATCCTAATTTCTTAACATTATTTCAATTAGTTATATTATCCATTGTTAATCATATATATTCTCTTTTAACTTTCATATTAATTCGTTCTTCATCCTAATAAATTTAAGCATGCTCGAGGTTGCCTTTCTACCATTTCATCTCCCTTGTTTTACAACAATCTTTCTTCTCCTTCTCTTCTCTTTTTCTTCCCTCCCTTCTTCTATCCCCTTCTTCTTTCTTCCTCTCCTATTCCTTCTCTACTTCCCCTTCCTTCCCCACCTCCTCCTTCCTTCCTTCCTTTCTAACCTTCTCTCCTACTCTTGTTTCCCCTCCCTTTCTTCCTCTCTTTTTCCCTTTTTTCTATTCCTCTCTCTCCTTCCTCTCTTCTCCCCTCCTTCTATCCCTCTACTCTTCTTTCCATTCTCTCTCCATTGTTGTATTCATTTTCAATTTAATATTTTCCACTATGGTATCCGGGCAACCCCGATATTTTCTCCACTTATTAAATGTATTTCTTGAAATCCCCATCACATTTTTTGATTATTAACAATGTATTTCAACTTATCCCAGTTTTCCATTGAAACCTTTTAACTAAATTAACCTTTCACCTCTTACTTTCCTTAGTTCCTAATTTCTTATTCCAACATCAATTAATTATTTTCCTCATTTACTAGCATTTCAATTTTATATCTTAATTTTGATTATTTTGACATATAAACCAGTCTACATTTCATATTACATCTGCTGATCCATTTTACAATAAACAATATATTTCTTCTTGTTTGCTTCTTACATACAATTTCTACTATTAACACAGTTCCCTTAAATCAACTAATAAGTGCTTTATTTCCCTTCCTTCTCTCCATTATTCTTCCCCTTTTAACCATTTTCTTTTGGTCTCTCCAAAATTCCACTTCTTAATATTTTTCTCCCTTTCTCCCATTCTCTTATTTTCTTCTTTTTCTTTTTATATTTATTGTATCTTTTCCCCTGAATCCTTTCTCTAATTTTTAAAATTGTTACCCTCTTAATTCTCCCCCTCACTCTTTTCCCATTTCCTTCCCCTTCTTTTTGGGGGGCGCTATTCCCCCCTATCCATTTTTTTTTCTTTGTCATTCCCAGTGTAATTATCTATCTTTTTATCTTCAATTATTTTCCTTTCAGCGTTATGTTCTTGCTTCTCATTTGTATTCTCTTTTTCCTTTTTTTTATTCTAACCAGCTTCCGCTTCTTTATTACACTTAAATGCTTCGTGCACATTCTTAAATATCTCCATTAGTTCCTCATACTCCCAAAGTTCTATATTATGAATTCAAAAAAAAAATTATTTTAGTTTATCTGTAATTAAAATTCAAGTCCATATAGTGTCTCTCTTTTTTAAATTTCCAAGTAATATCCAGTTCAAATATTTGTCTAGACCATTCCAGTTTAAGGCTTTGTTCTTTTTCACTTCCTTTCAAAGTCAGGATCCAGTTGTTTAAACAAATACTCCTTAAAATTTCCCATGGTAGTCAAAATTCTTACTGTTTCTTCAATGTTTAAAGCAGCTGTTGTAGTGCT